AACGACCACCACCACCACCATCACCACCCAACCACCACCGCCCGCCACCACCACCCACCTCCACCACCCATCACCACCATCCAACACTCGCCACTACCCACCACCCGCCACCACCCACCCACCATAACCACCACCACCCGCCACCACTACCACCCATCGTCATCACCCAACCAACACCACCTACAACCATTACTTACCACCCTCCACCATCACCACCCATCACTACCCACCACCACCAACCAACACCCACCACCTATCACTACACACCACACATCACCACCCGCCCCCACCACCACCCACCCACCACCACCACAACCACCCACCATCATTACCACCACAACCACCCAATACCCATCACTACCATTATCACCCAAGCACCACCACCAGCCACCACCACCCACCTCCACCACCCATCATCATCACCCAACCAACACCGCCTACTACCACTACTTACCACCCATCACAACCATCCTCCACCACCACCCACCATCACCACCCATCACTACCCACCACCCACCACCACCCATTACCCACCACCACCACAACCACCCACCATCATCACCACCAACCACCACCACCCACACCCACCCACCAAAACTACCATCCATCACTATCACCACCACCACCACCCACAACCACACCACCTTAACAACCTATCATCACCACCCACCGCTACAAGCCCCACTCCCACCTACAAAAACCACCACTCGTCACCACCAACCACCACTATCCACCAATCACTACCACCCGCCACCACCACCTACCATCACCACCCGCCTCCATCATCCACTCACTTACACCACCAGTTACCACCACCAGCCACAACCACCTCTACCCACCACTCTCCAATACCACCAACACCCATCAACACCACCCGAAACCAACACTAACACCCGTACCCACCATCACCACATGTGATTATATGTATGTATATGATTTACATGGATACGATTCGTTTTTGTCTAAATAAATCATATGTGATTAGATACCTTTTATCACATATGATTAAATACACGAGAATAAAAAAATGTATATTATCCACATAAATCACATATGATTAGACATATATAATCACATATGATTATATGTTTTAATCACATATGATTTATGTGAACAACATGCATTTTCGCATTGTTGATTCGTTAGTTGTTCTCTTATATTTAATCACATGTGATTATATGTATGATTTATCTAATCACATATGATTTATATTGACAAGATTAATTTTCACATTTTCTCTTCAACAAATTTTTTTATGTTTTTAATCACATGTGATTTATGTGGAATATATTTATTTTTGCGTCGATTCAATAATTTTCTCATGTATTTAATCACACATGATTAATGTGGACAAGATTCGTTTTTTGTTTATATAAATCATATGCGATTAAATACATATAATCACATGTGATTATACAAAAAAAAAAAAAACTATTGAATCGAGAAAGCAAGAATGAATTTTGGCCACATAAATCTTATGTGATTAGATACGTATAATCACATGTGATTATATGTATTTAATCATATATGATTTATGTGGACAATATTCATTTCTCGTTTTCCATTCAATAGTTGGTGTCGTGTATTTAATCACATGTGATTATATGTATTTAATCATATATGATTTATATGGACAATATTCATTTTCATGTTTTCGACTCAATATTTAGTCTCATGTATTTATTCACATGTGATTATATGTATTTGTTCCCATATGATTTATGTAGAAAAAAATATATTTTCGCATTCTTGATTCAATAATTTTTCTCATGTATATAATCGCATATGATTAAATGTATCTAATTACATAGGATTTATATGGACAAAATTCACTTTCGAGTTTTAGATTCAATAATTTTCTCACGTATTTAATCACATGTGATTATAAGAATCTAATCATATGTGATTTATATGGACAATAAGTATCTAATCATATGTGATTTATATGAATTGATCTTGTCTATATATATCTTATGTGATTAGATACATATATTAACATATTATCAAATATACGAGAACAACTATAGAGTCGAGAACACAAAAATGAATATTGTCCTCATAAATCATATATCAATTGATATAATCTTATTTGATTATATCAATTTAATCACATATGACTAATGTGGTAAAAGAACAACTATTAAATTAAGAATACAAAATTAAATCATGTCTACATAAACCATACGTGATTAGATACATATAAGCACATGTGTATTTAGTTACATGTGATTATATTTATTTAATCACATATGATTTATATGGACAAGATTTGTTTTCGCGTTCTTGATTTAGTAGTTGTTCTCGTGTATTTAATCACAAGTGATTAAATGTATTTAATCAAATACAAATAAAATGGACAAAAAAACCATTATTGAATTCAGAACGTGAAAATGAATATTGTCCACATAAATCATATGTGATTAAATACATATAATCACATGTGATTATATGTACCCAATCACATATTATTTATTTAGACAAATTTCATAATTTCTTTCTCAATTCAATACTCATGTACTTAATCACATGTGATTATATGTATCAAATCACATATGATTTATATTGATAGTATTTGTTTTTCACATTTTTTATTCAATATTTTTTTCTCATGTATTTAATCATATGTGATTGTTTGTATTTAATCACGTATGATTAATGTGGAAAAACAAAAAATGTTGAATAGAAAATGCAAAAATGAATCTTGTGTACAGAAATTATATGTGACTAAATGTACAAGAAAAACTATTGAACGATAATGCGAAAGTGAATATTATCCATATAAATCATATATGATTAGATACGTATAATCTCATGTAATTAAATACACAAGAACAACAACTAAATCGAGAACGCCAAAATAAATATTTTCCACATAAATTCTATGTGATTAGATATATGTAATCACATGTGATTATATGTATTTAATCACATATGATATATGTCGACAATATTTATCGTTGTGTTCTCGATTCAATAGTTGTTCTCGTGTATATAATCTTATATGATTGTATGTATTTAATCAGATATGATTTATATAGACATCATTATTTTTTGTCGATATACATCATATGTGATTAGATACATATAATCACATATAATTATATGTATTTAATCAAATATTATTTATGTAGACAATATTTATTTTTGCGGTTTTGATTGAATAATTGATTTTGTGTATTTAAGCACATGTGATTATATGTATATAATCACATATGATATGAGGTGGACAAGATTCATTTTTGCCTTCTTGGTTCAATAGTTGTTCTCATGTACTTAATCACATGTGATAAAATACATGAGAACAACTATTCAATCGACAAAGCGAAAATGAATTGTGTCCACATAAATCATATGTGATTAGATTCATATAATCACATGTGATTAGATGTATTTAATCGCATATGATTATTTTGGATAATGATTTGTGTTTGTGTTCTTGGTTCAAGATTTTTTATTATGTATATAATCACATGTGATTGTATGTATCTAATCACATATGATTTACATAGACAAGATTCATTTTTTTCAAAATAAAATCATATGTGATTAGAAACATATAATCACATCTGATTAAATGTAATTAATCACATATGATTAAAGTGGAAAAAAGACAATTATTGAATCAAGAATGCAAAAATGAATCATAGCCACATAAATTATATGTGATTAGATACACATAATCACATGTAATTATATGTATCTAATCGTATATGATTTATGTGGACAATATTCATTTTTGTGTTCTCGATTCAATCATTGTTCTTGTACATTTAATCACATGTGATTATACCTATCTAATCATATATGACTTATGTGAATAAGATTCAAATTCGCGTTCTCAATTCAATAGTTTCTATCATGTATTTAATCATGTCATTTTATATATTTAATCACATATGATTAAAATGGAAAAAGAACAATTATTGAATCGAAAACACAAAAATGAATCTTGTGCATATAAGTCATATGTGATTAGATCATATAATCGCATGTAATTTCATACACGAGAACAATTAACGAATCGAGAACATGGAAATGAATATTGTATGCATTTCACACTAAAAAACAAACTACATTTTTCCTTTCCTTGTTCACTCAACTGGATTAGGGTAAACGTAAACAATATCATAAAACAAGTAATGCCTACATAATAGGATAGGTAGTGTAACTCGCCTCCTTAAACTTGAAAATCAGCTAGCATAAACAAGATGAGTCATTTCCTTTCTAATAACATACA